GAGCCAGAGCTCCAGCCACCATAGCCCACCGGGCCACCAGAGCCAGAGTCTAAGCCCCAGCCCACCACCAAGACAGCACAAACACACTCTGCATTCCCACCACTGCTGCATGCAACCCACCACCCATTCCTGCAGTTGCACCAAGAAAAGAAAAAACTTGGAAGGAAAAGTGAACAAGAGGAAAATGGTCAAGAGGAGCCAGTAGGTGTACAAAACAAAGAGGTGAAGTTCAGGCCACAGAACTCCCCAGGTGAGGAGGGCTGCCCAGCCTGACACTGGGCGCAGTGAAGTGAAGGCTGCAGCCTCCAGGCTACAGCACAGAGGAACCACAGGCAATGCTAAAGAAGGAGAGTAAAAACTATGGGAGTTTTACACATGATGCATTTTGCTGGACTAGTTCTTCAAATAAGTTGGATGGGTTGATTGGGAAGGTGGACAGGTGCCAGGTTAGCTGGGTGAAAGGATGAATGGGTGGATGGGAGGCCAGTGAATAAGTAATTCATTAGAAGGGTGGTTAGGTAAAGAGATATGGTAGAAGGGTTAATAATTGCTTCAGTGGACTGATGGATGGGTAGAGGGATGGACTGGAGAATGCGTCAGTTGAATGAGTGGAAAGTCTGGATGTGGTTGGTGAGAGGATAGTGAATTGGTTAAATAATTGACCAGGTAGGTGAATGACTAGATCATCGTGGACAATCCGATGGGTAGGTGAACTGACAGATGGTTAACTGGATGGATGAATTGAATGGACCATGGATGGAAGAACAGATGTTTGGACTGAAACTAGATGGGTAGCCTGGTCATAGCTGAAAGAATGAAATAAATGTTGGATAAAAAGACTGGGATGACTCATGGACGGGCCACAAGTCAACCCAGTGTTTTTATCTTTTCACCCAGTGATTTTAAATGGTTGGGATGGATGGATTCACAGACCAAAAGGAACTTGGTGAAAGTCTATGCTCTTTCCATGTCCATATTTGATTACAAATGAGCAGTACAAGACCGAAAGGAGAGGGCTAGTAACTTCATGAAGTACAACTGTTAAAGGTCCCTTTCCTATTCCTTTCACTTAGGGCAGAAACACAACTGAGATCGCACTCCATGGCTTGCTCCTGTGCCTGTTCCACCCAAATGAGAAACACCATCACACATGGAATGCTAGAAGGAAGTCAAACTTTTTGCAGGAAGATGTTACAAGTGATTTCTATGTGGCAATGATTAAAGCTGTGCATTGGGTGACTTTCCTTGAGTCGGCATTTTGAATTCACTAAGGGTGTTGTGTTTGGGGAGCGCAAAGCAGAAAAGCTGGGACGTGCATCTTGTGATGACGCCTCATGGAAGTGTAAGGAGCCATGCCAGCACAGGGGCAGAAATGAATGGAGGGTGGAGACACCAAGAAGTTTTCAAAGTAGAGGGCAACACTCCGCTTGTGCAGAGCCCTCCTTTGCCCTATATGCTCATTTATTTGTGTAGGCAAGTGTGCACACACAGGATCCCACGGGCCCATACACTGTTGACGTGATCCAAACACAACAGCCAGCCGAGGTGTGGCAGGAGACAGGCAGGAAGAGTGGTGAAGCAAGGTGACATGATGCAGAGCAACTCTGACGGTGTTCCAGGCCGAGGAAACAGCATGTGCAAAAGCCCCAAGGGGGGAAACAACTTGGGGTGTTCTGATGACTGGAGTAGCTGGTTCAGGCTACACAGATGGCAGGGGAGGAGGTGGGAGTGCCAGGAAGGGCCAGGCTATGCAGCGGTCGCAGGCTGTGGAGAGCTTGGACATTATATTGGCTGCAAGTGACAAGGTCTAATGTGTATTTAAAGATTGTGCTGGCTGCTGTGTAGAGGCTGAATTGTTGAGGGTGGAAGGGACAAGAGGAAGAGCCATGGTAGGTTGTGGCTAGGAGAGAGGGACGGAAGGATGGCACCGGAGACCTCCAATACGAATGGGCTGAAGGAGCGAGTTCCTCCTTCAGCAAACGTTTACTGGGTGCCTACTTATAAAGGCATTGGACTAGTGAGGGAAGAGAAAGGTGAAGAGAGACCTACAGGAGCACAGGTTCCAAATGAATTAGGAGATAAGATAGTGTCATTAAATGATTACACCAATTATCAAGAGAAAACTTTGGCTGTCTCATCTACAAAATGGGTCTCTTGTTGGAAGGCTGGAGGGTTCAACGAGATCATGTGTATGAAGTTGTATCTAGGCCCAGAACATAGTTATCACAAAATGTCATAATGACACTTTGCTATTATTAACTGGGCATATAAAGTACTAGACAAATTTTTTTTTTTTTAATGTTAGTTGCCAAATAAAAGGATTAAGGAATGGTCAGGGTCCCATGTAGATTACCTTCCAACCTTCAAACCCACAAACCTTGGCTTTAGGGTCAGACTCTGGTTTACACTGGCTCCCACACTCCTAGCTGGGGGGCCTCGGGCTAGTCACATTCTCTCTGAGACTGACTTGTCTCATCTGCCTAGCAGGGTAATAATTCCAGCCTCGGGGAGATCAGCAGCCACAGGTGTGTAAAGGCACCTAGCGCAGGACTGGCACACGGTTGCTCTTACTCCCTTTTGTGTATCATTTGGCATTTGGGCTGAAGGAATGAGACAGAACATGTGGTGATGGAGGACGGAGGAAACGTGGACTTGGGGGGGTGTCTGCAGTGCAGGGAGAGGGACCAAAAGGGGAGCTTACTGTGGTGGTCATTTATCTGTAACAGACACATATATCATTTCTTAAAAAAATAATTGCATTCCTTCCATTACCACTTAATTACATGTCATTTCATTGCGACTAATATAATATGTTGATTATAGCTCAATTAAAAAAAGGAAGTCTGAGTTTTGCAGAACAAGCAGTGGCATGCTGTGGAAGGTCCTCTTTCAGAGCTCGACTGTGTGGCCTTAGCAAGTCATTTCCTCTCTCTGTGCCCCCGTCACCTCCTCTGTAAAATGGGAGGCTAAAGTGCCTCCCTCGAGGAGTCACTGGGAGTCTGCTGAGATGATGATCATGCAGGCATCTAGCAGAGGGTCTGGGACACAGTCTGCACGTACAGCAGGGCATGTTCCAGGTTGATAGCACACACCTTCTTAGAGTGTGGGGAAGGGCCCAGTCAGGCTGAGGAAGTGACCATTTATTGAGCACCTACTAGGTGCCAGACCCTTGGACATAATCTACTTCCACTGAATCCACATATCCTCAGCAGGAGGTATTACTATTCCCACTTTACAGATGAAGAAGCTGAGACTCAGAAGTGAAATGATTTGATCAAAGCCTCCTGGAGGGCAGGTCTGGGATCAGAGATTCATCCTTTGCCCCAAACCTCCTGGTTCCTATTTAAAAATGTAAAACCACATAATCCCATGACAGTCACTGAAGTCACAGTGCAAAAGAGTTTGGAAAGCACTTCTGGGAGCACGTTTAAGGGAGAAGGTAGAGAAAGCGGGTCTGAGCACAAGGTCAGGGACTCTGAGCTCCGCTCACCAGAGGAGTTCCCTATTATCTGAACAGGTCCTTTTATAATATGACTACTGAAGGTGTGGAGACATGATCTCTACAACAGAGGAAGTGAACTGGGAAGCAGACAGACTGGGTCACATTCATGGCTTATAGACCCATCCTTCACCCCACATTTCCCTGAAACCAACATGCAGAAAAAAAAGGGACAGATACACACAGATACCCAGTCACATATCAAAGAAGTCACCACTCAAACCCACTCAGACCCAGTGACCTAGGTTCATGTGAAGACTCCCAAATACACACACACCCTTCCATGCACACGGGCAGGCTCTCGCCCGCCTCCCCTCTCACACTAAAACGCTCAAGCAAGCAAGCACTCACAGGCACACAGCCACCCTCCCACAGTCGGACACATGATGACAAGAGGAAAAACATCAAACCACAGATTCATTCTTTCACTCGTTTGGTTTGGGGTGGGGCAGCAGTAGTTTGAGGGCAGGCCTGCTGGAGACCCAAATTCAGGAAACAGAAACAGACACTCATTCAGCCACTGACAGGCTATGCAGATTCTGAAGGCAACCTATCTTACTTTTCTGGTTAATTTCGGTGGGGTACTGGAGTACCGTGAGGTCTGTGGTAGGACTGTGTTCAGCTGCCTGGGGCACCGTCACTGCTGCAGGCCCTAGATGTCATTGGGAGGCCCAGCAGTCCTGGGGGAGGAGGGAGCAGTCAAAGAAGAGGGTGCAGTGCCTGTGATGAGATGCCCATTTGAGATATGATTCAGGATGAAAACATACATCAAACTCTACAGCTACACAGACTGAGTCAACTCCAAGCTCCCACATTCTCTCTCTGGGTGATACCAGGCCTGTCCCTTAACCTCTCTGAGCCTCTCTCTTTGTACCTCATGCTTTGTGAAGAGGTGCAAGGGACCACACTGTTCTTGACTGCTGCATCCCAAGTACTTGTGCACATTAGAAGCTCAGTGATTATTTGTTGAATACATGAAAGATCAGGCATTAAAGCAATGGCAAGATGCCACTTGGGTATCTGTTGAATGGGCCAAAATGGAAATGGTTTGATAAAAACTAGTACTGGTGAAGGCACGGGGAAGCACCTAAGGCCAAGTGCCACTGCCAAGAGGGTGAATGTGCACAGCATGTCAGCAGACAACCGATGGTGTCTGTTGAAGTGCTTCTCACCCGGGTGCTGAGACGCTCTGCTCTACAGGGAGGTGCAGGGCCACATTGTTTGCAAGAGCAGAAAACTGGAAACAATGTGTGTGCCCATCCATGGGTGATAGCTAAATGAACACTGAGGAGGCAGTTTAAAAAATATTATGTAGTTTTTTAAAGGAATGAGGTTGATCTTTTTGTGATCTATCCAGGTTGCCAGGATATGTTGTTGGGTGAAAAGGGCAATATAGAGAAAGATACAACATTTATAGAGGAAAAAATTCTACACAAAGCAACACTGTATTCTTATGGGAGAAAATGCAGTATGTAAATGCATACAAAAAGATCTGGAAGGACACACGTCTTGGGAGGGAAAATGCTTTAGTTATTTTATACAAGGAAATAATAAAGTAAATTAAGGGAGAGAAAAGAAATGTGCATCAGTGAAGCATCTAGTAGGACAGCAAGTGCTCAGCGAAGATTTGTTGGCTCTGAAAAGAGATAATACAAACATGTTGAGCATAAACTGTTACTGCAAAATGCTATCTTCACTCTAGCCAATGGCATCAGACCCTTTCTGGGCTTGATAATCTGGGCAAGGTGACTCAGAAGGCTTTCCCCACAGGGACTCCCTGCCCTGGGCAGGGAGAGGCTAAGTCCGGCCCATTGCCTTCCGGGCAGCCAAGCCTCTGCCTGTAAACCATTCTGGTGGCCCTGAGTGCCTCTCCTGCTTAGCTTAGGCTCATGTCCTGCCATCTGCCACTCAGGTCCTCAGTCTTTTTCTCCAGACCTGTGTCTGTGCTGTGCTCTTCCAGGAGTGGCCTCCCTTCTTTTCCTTGGGTTAAATCCCACTTGTTCTTTAAAATTCAGGTCAAGGATCACCTCCTTCCAGAGCCTGCTCAGGGCCCTGCTGGCTTGGCCAGGTGCCTACTCTTACACCAGCAGACACTGGGCTTTGCCATGTCATGTGGGCCATGGTTAAGTGTGCTGCTGGTCAGTGTGCCCCAAAATGAGACAGCTCCTCACACTGAGAAAACCAGGCCAAACTCAACCTCTTGTCATGGCTCCCGCCACCCTCAACAGCTTTCTCACAGAGAGGGGTCCATGAGCCGAGGGGTCTTCCTGCCCCCTACTCTCTATGTGCCCAGCCTGCCGTGTGTCAGTTCTTGTCTAATCTCAGAGATTCTGCAAATTCTACCCCCACCCCCCATGTCAACTGCAAGGTTATCTGCTACTGCTTCTTGTTGTCAGCTGCTGAAACCTAACTTGCCACTTCAGAAATGGGGTAGGGTGGGAACCAGAGCAGCTTATTAGAAAAGTACGTAAACATAGCTGTGAATAGGTTCGGGCAAGGTCCTGAGGATCTGCTGATGACAAGGCACTGGACCTGCTTTGTGAGGCAGTTCTTAGAGCCACTGGATCAAGTGGATTTGCCCAAAGTCACAGTGCTGATAGGGGTGGGTGAGGACCTGCGACCAGAGCCAGGTCTGTCTGGACTCCACAGCCAGTGCTCTCAGAAATCCTCTTTCCAGCCCCTCCTGTTTTGGAATTCTTAACACAATAATAGTGGCTACTTTCTGAAAGCTGGTTAGTACCAGCTACTTCTCATCTCTGACCAATGTCTCCTTTCCTCACCTGTCACGCGGGGATAAATGGGCCTGCTGGAAGGTTCTCATCACGTCTCCCCAGGACTGCGGAGGAGCCAGCCTGTCATCACGCTGGAGTCCGGCCGCCGGCTCGTGTCGTCACTCCCTGGCCTTTCGGTCTCCTCTGCCCAAGAGGAGAAGCTTCCTCTTGGCCTCAAGTGTCCCCAGCTAGCTGCAAAGCCCCCCTCCACTAAAGCACATAATCTTCCCTGCTGTTGGGAGGGGCTGGGACTCCCGTCTAGCACACACAGTGAAGTGTGGCTCCCCCAAAACACCTTCACCAAGTTCCACCAGCTCCCTAAATGGTGCTTTCTCATCTGGTAAGTGGCGGCACCTAATTTGCAGAACCATGAAAAAGAGAAAATAAGACAATGTACCAAAAAAATTGTCACCAGCAAATGGTGATCCCTTTCCCAACATCTGCAGGGGCGAAACAGCCGACCCAGAGCTCTGGCCTCCCAAAGCATGAATGTCCCAGTGCTTCCTCAGAGGTGTCTTGACACCCCTTTCAGGGGCTAAAGTACTGACATCGTGGGTGGGGGAGGTGCGCTCAGGGTCAGCTGTGAGGTATGTCCCAAGGTCCCTATTGAAGGTCATCTTGGCTAAAGCCCAAACTGTCTGGAAGGTCAGCAGCCAGAGGGATCTTTCTTTCCACACTCAATCCTACAGTGTCTCCTGGGCTTTCAGGTTTGTTTCCTGCAGTCAAGGTGAAATCCAAACCCCTCCTGCCTCCCAGCAAGGTCCTGCCCCATCAAGTGGCCGAGCCCTAGGCCTCACCCCTGCACTCCCCCTGTGCTCTCTGCACACGTGGCCTTTCTCACCCCGCAGCATGCCACTTTACCCCCACCTCAGGGCCCCGGCCCCGGCCCCGGCTCTTCTACCTGCCGTCCTTGTCACTTGCTTTTAGAAAGACCTCAATTCTCATGTCGCCATCTCTGAGGGGTTTCCCTGACGACGTTATCTCGCTCCTCCCCCACCCCATAAGCATCTTGTGACCCCCTTTCTCCATGTTTATTTCCCACATAGCACTTACCACGATCTGAAAAGACCCTGTGAATTTACTGTCTGTCTCCCCTAGGTCTGCTAGAAGAACCTTAAGTCCTCAGTGCCTAGTAGACAGTAGGCACTCAATAAATGCCTGCTGGATAAATACTGAAGAAGTGAAACAGATATGTTATTACCCTCATATTGCAGATAAGGAAACTGAAGCACAGAGGAAGTAAAGCCTGCCCCAGGTCACATGCTTATTAAGTGACAGATTTAAGGCCAGGCTGGCTGAGAGCAGAATCCATGCTCTCCACCCCACCGTTCAGGGCTCCCCAGAAGCACAGACTCCCATGGGAATGCTGGCTGCCCCCAGAGTTGGAAGAGGAGTGCTGAGGAGCACTGGGTGAGAGAGCAGTTTCAGTATGACACTTCCCGACCAGGTGCTGCTTTTCCCAGCAGGACTTTGCCAGTTGAGGAGTGGGGAAACCCTATGAAATTGAGTTCCTTGGGCTGGGCCCCTTACTTGGCAGGGCCTGCAAGTTGGGGAGGAGAACATTCCCACATGTCTGGCTGTGGCCGAGCAAGCTGTGGACACAGGGCTGACCCTGTGGCAAGAAGTCATGTATGCTGAGCACGTTTTCTGTGCTTGGCACTTTGCTTCAGGCTTTGCATGCATTGCTGCTCTATGAGGTATGATACTTCAACAACACTTTTTTTTTTCCCAGAACTCATTTTGAAGATGGGTCAAATGAGGCCCAAAGAGGAGAGCTGTTTGTTCAAGATCACACATCTGGGAAGCAGTAGTCCTGGAGTCCACATGCAGTCCTGTCTTGCTGTGGACTCTGAGCTCCGCAGGGCTGCCATGCCGCTTAGCTTCACGTGAGCCTAGCACCAGTCCTCCAGGGAGAATGGCCAGGAGGCAGATGCTTGGCAATCAGCATATTACTTTTTTCCTTTTGGCATCTAGATTTGGTTTCATTTTGAACTCAGGGCTTCAGAAAATGAAAACAAAGCTGTAGTAACCGTCAATGTTGGCAGTGAAGAGAACCCACGTGGGTTAAGCAACTAGGTCCTGACTCACCACGCTTTCACAACCAGGATCTGGCCAGGTTAGAGCATGGGGCTAGTCCCATTGTGCAGGCAAGGAAACTGAGACTCAGTAGGGCCCAAAGCCACAAAGGGCAAGACGGAGGCTTGGATGCCAAGACCTGGCACTCACCGAGCTCATAAATAAGAGGGAAGCTGGCAGACCTGCACCCACTCTTTCCTAGGCTGGCTCAGCCTGGGAAATGAATCTCTGACTTATTTCCGTGACATCTACTAGTTTTCCAGAAGACAGATGAGGATTTGAGAACACCAGGTTGGAGGGAGGGAGTTTACAATGCAGTGGGCAAGGACAAAAGCTCTGGGGTCTAATATCCTGTGTATTAATCTCAGCTCTGCCCCTTCTAAGCTGTGTACCCCTGGGCAAGTGACTCCCCTCAGCCTCAGTTTCTCCATCCGTAAAATGGGCAGGTTGGAATGTTGTATGTCTAAGGAGTATAAAGCATTTATCACACAGTCAGCTTAGGCCAATACATCACAGGTATCAGTAAATGAAAGGAAGGAAGGGGCCCCACAGGGATGGGTGGGAGGGTATCAGCAAGAAGGGAGGAGCAAGACAAGGAGGCCCCAGTCCTGATGGAAAAGGGGTGGCTCTCCCAAGTAGCCAAGGAAACTCTCCATGGGGGCTGAGGGCATATGGCCCATCAGCTATTTATAGATCTCCCTCTGCCCAGAGGCCTGCCAAGGAGACACGTTGGCAGGAAGACAAGTCATGTAGGAGCCAGACCAGCCTGGTGACCTTCTCTGGGCCTGGACTACCTGCCCCGGCTCAAGCGAGAAGAAAAGGAGGTGCTACCCCTCTCCACGGCCAACATCTAGGAGTCTGGCTTCCCCAGTGAAACTCTTCTCCTGCTCTGCCTGTGCCTCTTCTAATCTGTGCTCCCTGGTCTAGGACTTCTAAGATCGGCATAAGGAATGAGGCCATGTATCTGTGGGCTTCAAAGCACTGCCACACCCACAGGCACCCTCAGGTGAAAAACAGCAACAACAAACACCTAATGAATGCTTATTATAAGCCAGGGACTATTCTAAGCACTTGACCAACCCATGATCACTCATTTAATCCCCACCGCTGCGAGGGAGGTACTATTATTATGTTTCACAGGTGAAGAAACCAAGGTAGAGGGGTTAATTACATGTTCAAGAGCACAAGGCTAGAAAGTTGAAGACGTAGAATTAGAACCCAGGTAGTTTGGACCCCACGGTCCAGCTCTGGAATGACCACGGCCCCTGACCACTGGCACATGCATGGCTCTGCATCTTTGTCATCCTCTGCACACAAATATGTGCATATGCACGCACACACAACCTGGGACCACCACATCAATGACCAACACTAGCTGCTGTCACACACAACTCAGGGAGCCAAGGGAGTCCTAAGCAAGATTGATTCTGGGCCACCTCCTGCATTCAAGGGGAAACAGGAGGGGGGAAACACCAGGCAAGAAGGCAGGCAGGAAAACCAGGCATCAGGGCTTCAAGAAGAGGAGCTGGCCAGGCTGCTTGAGAGCTGCCTGTAGAGGGCAGTGTGTGCCAGCGTGAGGCCAGTCACTAAGCCCTCCATCAGTCCAGTGTTCTGCCTAACTCCCTCCAGACTCTGAGACTTCCCACCCACCAGCCTTAACCCTTATTCCCTCTTCCTTTCCTTCAAAAGTACATATTTCAATCAGGTACCTGCTCCACGCCTTTCTACTACAGACACGAACACTGGATCACACACAAATGTACAAAGTATAGCCCACATCACCATCCCTACCTCGCCCAAGCCCCAGGTGTGAGTGAAGCAGATGCTTCACTGAGAGTGGGAGGGGAATCTACAACGAAGAAGTTGGGGAAGAGAAGGGCTGCCCAGGATAAAACAGTAGGCTTTAAGAGTCATCACATGAACCATCTTTTCACTGGGCTCCAAAGTACACTTGGGGTGCAGAGCTGCTCTCTAACCAAAATAAAAGGAGGAGGGTGAGTCTCCTCCAGAGCTTCCCATCTGCCAGTCACTGCAAATCAGAGCCCCTCCCCGAGCCTCAGTTTCTCGACAAAGGAGGACAAGCCAAGTCCTCCTGGGACCTTGCCGGCCCCGCCCAGTTTCTGAGGAACTCGCAGCGCAGTGGCGGTGCCCCTCCTGCGCTACCAAAGGGTTCCTCCGAAGCCTTGTGGTCAGGCCACGACTTCCTGGGAAGCCCAAGCCAAGACCAGGGACAGCGGCAGGCAGGGAGGAGTGTGGGGGTGGGCCTCCTGGGCCCCCACCCCCCAGGCTCATGGACTACGGGGTAAGGGCAACAGCCGTAGTCCCGAGGGGTCAAAGGCTGGGATCTTCAGGCTGGACCCCAGGTTGGGTGGAGGGGTCTGGCTCGAGCAGAGTAGAAGACAGGAGATCTGCCGAGTTGGGTGCTGAGACACTTGGCCGGGAGAGGCGTGTCAGGGCTAGTCTAGAGCATCCCAAAGGGATAGGTTGCAGAAATCTGTAACCGAAGGCAGGGGGGCGAAACAGGGGCACTAAGTCCAAAGGGGGCAGCCGAGAAGTGGCTAGGCGGTTCAGGGGCGGGGCCAGAGACCTTGATGGAGGGTTCCTAGGGCAGGTGGATGTTAAGCCAGAGCAGGGGGCCTCCCACGGGAGAGTCTCCAGTGTATGCAAAAGGTCGAGCTGGTGTGGCTTCCAACGCAGAAAAAGAAACCGAAAGTGGCGCGGAAGGAGAGTGCCTGCAGGGGGGGTGGAGCCTGTAAGGGGAGGGGCCTCCTGTAGATGGACCCCGCCCCCCAAGCTGATTTAAAAGACTGGTGCAGGGGCGGGCTCCGAGCAGAGCGAGCTGCGGCCGAGGCAGCTGCACGCCTCCCGGTCCCGGAGCATGCGTGAGAGCCGCCCCGGAGCCCCCTGCCGCCCCTCCCGCGGTGCCCCTCGCCCTGCCGCCAGGTGAGCTGTGCACTGGGCAAGGAAGCGGGAGGGAGAGGGGGTAAACTAAAAGGAAAGGACAGCAGAGTGCCAGACTGGCCTCAGGGCCACCAGGCCCCTGGCCCCCGCCGACTCCACCCTGGCAGCCCCCCGCGCATGGGGTTCCCGCAGCACAGCTTTTCCTCTGACTTTGCCCAGATCTCTCGGAAGAGGTGCCAATACCCCGCCTGGCCAGCAGGCGGCGAGCCGAGGGCCAACCCCATAGTTCAGACAGGCTATTCCCTGGCAGCTCTCTCCACGCCCCCCTCGCTTATCCAAACTCTGTGCCGGCTGGAGGCTGGACCCTGCCCCCATCAAGTCCCCACCGCCTGGAAGTGCTCTGCGCACTGGGAAGTGTATTTTCTAGACCACTAAGGCTCTAAGGGGCCGCACGTAATTGGTCCTATGCCCTCGGCCTTTTAGTGTCGGCGGCTCAGCCTTAAACTCCACACATTCCCAGCTGCCTCGCGGCCCCTCACCTGTACAGCCCACCCAAACTCTCCACTCACTGCCTCTGTTTCCCCTATCAGCGCACCCCCGGACGCTATGGCCCACCCCTCCTGCTGGCCCCTCGTGTAGGATGGTAGCACACAACCAGGTGGCAGCCGACAATGCAATCTCCACGGCAGCAGAGCCCCGACCGCGGCCAGAGCCTTCCTCTTCCTCCTCCTCGCCTGTGGCCCCTGTGCGCCCGCGGCCCTGCCCGGCAATCCCAGCTCCGGCCCCAGGTGACACACACTTCCGCACCTTTCGCTCACACGCCGAGTACCGGCGCATCACCCGTACCAGTGCACTCCTGGACGCCTGCGGCTTCTATTGGGGACCCCTGAGCGTGCACGGAGCGCACGAACGACTTCGCGCAGAGCCCGTGGGCACCTTCTTGGTACGCGACAGCCGCCAGCGGAACTGCTTCTTCGCCCTCAGCGTGAAGATGGCCTCGGGCCCCACAAGCATACGCGTGCACTTCCAGGCTGGCCGCTTCCATCTGGATGGCAGCCGGGAGAGCTTCGATTGCCTCTTCGAGCTGCTCGAGCACTACGTGGCGGCGCCGCGCCGCATGTTGGGGGCCCCTCTTCGCCAGCGCCGGGTCCGGCCACTGCAGGAGCTGTGTCGCCAGCGCATCGTGGCCACTGTGGGCCGCGAGAACCTGGCCCGCATCCCCCTCAACCCCGTCCTCCGCGACTACTTGAGCTCTTTCCCTTTCCAGATCTGACCGGCCGCGCAGGCAGCATTAACTGGGGCTCCTTGTTATTATTTTAATTAATTATTATTTCCCTGGAACCACGTGGGTGCCCTCCCCCGCCTGGGTTGAAGGGAGCTTGGGGGGGGGGGCGCTAGGCCCTTCCCCCTCTTCGGCTGGAGAAGAGGCCACTGACCCCTCCCCAACTCTTGGGGGCATGCCCCCTCCTGGTGCTCCCTCTGGGTCCCCCTGGTTGTAGTAGCAGCTTAACTTAACTATCTGGGGCCAGGACCTGAACTTGTACCTCCTACCTCTTCATGTTTACATATACCCAGTATCTTTGCACAAACCAGGGGTTGGGGAGGGTCTCTGGCTTTATTTTTCTGCTGTGCAGAATCCTATTTTATATTTTTTACAACCAGTTTAGGTAATAAACTTTATTATGAAAAAAAATTTTTTTTTAAGAAAAAAGGTTTCTAGAGCATGTGCTTTGGTCAAAGGTTTTCCTTGGTTTTGAATGGGTCTTCCATTCAAAATCCCTTGAAAGGGATCCTAAGACTGGCAGTTTGGCTGGAAGTGGTGTGTGATCCATGTTCTGTGGCTAAGAACCCTGCTTGGTTCCCCCCACAGTCTGGGTAATGTTGGTCTAGTTTTGGTATTGTGTGTCTGGGTAAAATGGCAGCTCATGGATGAGCACTTAATGTGTACCAGGCGCTATTTAGACTTTTACCTGCTTTCATTTACTTAACTCTACTGAGACAATTCTATCAAGTAAGGCTCTTAACCCATTCTACAGAAAACAAGTGCAGGGGTAGATTTGCCTTTGGTCATTCCTGTGTCAAAGAAGACACTTGGGTCTTTTTTGGCTGTCCACACAGAATCTGTTTGAACTGGATGACAGAGAGAAATTTCCATTCTGTGACCACAATAACTTCCAGGAAGGGAGGGGGAGTGGAGGCTTGATGAGTTTTTAGAAGGACGTGTGGCACATTCTGAACTCAGCATCAAGGGTTCTCAACGAATATGTATCTTAACATGTTAGATGGGATGGAGGATACGGGGTTGGACCTGACTTCCCTCTTCCCGTCCAGTTCTGTCTTGTGTACTTTTCGGTGAACGCACAACTTGGAGTCACAAAGAGGCTTTGTGGTCTGTGGTGACGGGAGGGCCCTGCTGGTGGCTTTGGGCAATTCCCTTTGCCTCTTGGAGCCTCAGCATGGACCTCAAAAATGGGCTTGCTAGAGCAGGTGGAACCCTCAGCAGCAGGTGTTCAGGCGTCGCAGAGAAAGTGGTATTTCAGGAGTCAGGGGAGGCAATGGCTGCTCCAGGATGCTTGTGGGGCTGGCCTGCATCAGTAGAAAGTCCCCATGACATGGGTTTTATGGCTACACCTCTGTCTGTGACCAGCCGGACAGATAAGCCATGCCGGCAGCTCTGCTGTGCTGCCGTACCCAATGAATTGAGTCATTCTCAGGTTTAGGGTTAAGCAGACGTCACACTTCACTTTTAGAAGTTAGAACAGTCCTCTGCAGACTTGGACATGCTTGTATTGGAGTGTCCTATTATTTAATAATACCTTTCAGACTTGAAAGTGTGGCAGAAAATTAACTTGAGACCTGGAGCTGCCCATACTTGTCTTGGATATTATATAGTTTTCAGGCTTCAAAGTTAAGGATGGCCAGGAGAGATATAGGATCTCAGAGAGCTTTGGAAATTTCATCCTTTAATAAGGTGGGGTGGGAGGGAATGAGGTGACGTCTTATCTCTGGCTCCAGGGAATCACTGCTTTCCCTTTTAACCACCTTACTACCCTTTGTTCTCTTCTGTGTGGATCAAGTTCTGTCCTTGTTCTGACTTCCTGTCTCCTACCTAGTCTGAACAGTGCCTGAAGAAATAGAGAAATCCAAGAAGGCAGTGCTTGGGCATACCACAGACACTTAGTGAGTTCTTACTGTGTGCCGGGCCCTGTGCTGTCTTGTTTAATCCTGACCAACTAGCCTGTAAGTTAGAAACCTCCCGTTTTACAGGTGGGAAAACTGAGGCTCAGAGAGGCAAAGTAGGGCACACAACAAATGGTGGAGCCAGATGTTCAAACTTAGATTGTACTGCCTCAGAGGCTGGGTACCACTAGGTAACAGCCTCCCATGAGGACCTAACGGTCGCAATAATAATAACAGCAGCAGCTGCTAACATTTACATAGAGCATTACTGTGTAGGAGCTATTCCAGGCCCCTAGTTACCTATATTAAAACATTCAACCTTCACCCTAGCCTCATGACTTACTATTAACATCCATTTTACAGATGAGGAAACAGGTCTTCATCTATAGAGGATGCATTAGAAGGTAGTTGACAGTATTTTCAGGTTTTTTCCTCCTTTTAAAAAAGTTTAAAAACAGCATCTTCATTACACAAACCCATTCCCCCCAATAAAACCAGGAGCAAAGCAGCTAAGAAAGAAGACTCCTTTGATCACACCTCCCAGATCTGGCCCCTTATCTTTATTTAAAAAAATCTATACTAACCGTACAGTGGCTTAGCAGGACCCAGAAGTTTCCGGAAGCTGCACTCCAGGCCCGAGTGACTGAGACCCTGTGTAGACACCAGTGCGGAGGAAAAGGGCTGGGGGTGACGCAGTGTGTGCCCTGTGGCTTCCCCGGCAGTGCAGATTCTCTCTCATACCTCAGTTTCGTGATTCAGCAGCACTGACGTCAATTTACAAGAATGAAAAGTGAGAGGAGGATTTGTGTGGGGAGTGGTGGGTCGGGGGCCCAGGTGCTGCTGAGGAGGTACCCTCCCCAATGAGAGCTGGTGATCTGGGCAGCACAGGGATAGAGAATGGGAAAGCGGCAGCTCTCCAGCATGACGGGGGCAGCATGCAGGCGCAAGAACACTTCAACCCGCATCAAAGCCACCCCCGAGCCAGGGACTCTGATCCCCATTATAGAGATGAGGAAACGGAGGTGCAGAGAAGTATAGTCACTCAGGGACACACAGTTCAAATGTGGCAGCCAAGACCTGTGCCAGGTCCATCCCACTCTACAGGCCATTGGTTTCTTAAAGAGTGGGGGCGGGAAGGGGGAGGAATGCTGGGGAAATGCATGTTCCTAAGCTTCACCTCAGCCTGCTTGATCCTTCTAAGCTTATGAGTAGAACTGTTATTGTCCCACAGCCAGGAAGTGGAGCACCGAGCCTCTTCCTGAGGTTGTGCACCTAAAGCACTTAGCACACAACCTGGCAGTACATCTCTGAATGATGCAGTGCTCAGTAAATGATAGCTAAGTCCATGTAACACACAGCCACTGGGCACCTACCCAGGCATTACTCTAAGCCCAAAGGATACAGGAATGAACAAAATTGAGGGAGTCCTGTCCCTGGTCTCATGGAGTTCACATTCAGGGCCTCCGACCGTAAGTAGCTACACATGGAACTAAAGAACAAGAACATTTCAAGCAGTGCCAGTGCTCAGATGAAGACTCACAAGGTTGAATGAAGTGGGGGCAGGGGGTGGCGGGGAGAGTGATGGATTTTAGAA